TTTCCCGTTCCCATTCCCAGTATAACCCATCCCCATTCCCATTCCCAATGTAACCCATCCCCAGTGTATCCCATTCCCAGTATAACCCTTTCCCGCTCCCATTCCCAGTATGACCCATTCCCATCCCCGTTCCCAGTATAACCCATTCCCATTCCCATCCCTATTCCCAGTATAACCCATTTCCATCCCCATTCCCAATGTAACCCATTCCCAGTGTAACCCGTTCCCATTCCCAGTATACCCCTTTCCCATTCCCAGTCTAACCCTTTCCCATTCCCAGTATAACCCATTCCCATTCCCAGTATATCCCATTCCCAGTGTAACCCGTTCCCATTCCCAGTCTAACCCATTCCCAGTGTAACCATTCCCGTTCCGGTTGCAGCGGCGGCGAAGAAGAAGCCCAAGAAGGGGAAGACGTTGACCCTCACGGATTTCCTGGCGGAGGACGGGGGGGGCGGCGGCCCCACCTTCATCCCCAAACCCGTCAGCTGGGCCGACGAGACCGACGACCTCGACGGTGAGGGAATCCCGGGAATTCTGGCATTCCTGGCAATGGGAATGGCGGGCCAGGCAATGGGAATGGTGGTCCTGGCAATAGGAATGGTGTTCCTGGCTCCTGAATTGGTGTTCCCAGGATGGGAATGGGGGGTGGGCTTGGGGTGGGAATGGTGTTCCTGGGATGGGAATGGTGGGCCAGGCAATGGGAATGGTGGGCCAGGCTATGGGAATGGTGTTACTGGGGTGGGAATGGCAGGCCAGGCAATGGGAATGGCGGTCCCGGCAATGGGAATGGCCGACGAGACCGACGACCTCGAGGGTCAGAATTCCCGGGAATTCCTGGCGTTCCCGGGGTGGGAATGGCGGGCCAGGCAATGGGAATGGTGGTCCTGGGGTGGGAATGGTGTTCCTGGCAATGGGAATGGCCGACGAGACCGACGACCTCGACGGTGGGGGAGTCCCGGGAATGGGAATGGCATTCCCGGCGTTCTTGGGGTGGGAATGGTGGGCCAGGCAATGGGAATGGTGTTCCCAGCTCCCAAATTGGCGTTCCCGGGATGGGAATGGGGGGTGGGATGGCTCCAGTTGACTCCGGTTGCCTCCAGATGACTCCAGTTGCCTCCAGTTGACTTCAGTTGCTTCCAGTTGACTCCGGTTGACTCTGGATGACTTCAGTTGACCCATTTGACTCTTACTGACCCCAGTTGACTCTGGTTGACTCTGGTTGCCTCCAGTTGCCTCCAGTTGCCTCCAGTTGACTCTTTCTGACCCTGGTTGCCTCCAATTGAGTCTGGTTGACTCCAGTTGACTCTGTCTGACCCCAGTTGACTCCAGTTGCCTCCAGTTGACTCCAGTTGCCTCTAGTTGACTCCAGTTGACTCTTTCTGAACCCAGTTGCCTCCGGTTGCCTCCAGTTGCCTCCAATTGACTCCAGTTGCTTCCAGTTGACTCCGGTTCACTCCAGTTCACTCTTTCTGACCCCGGTTGCCTCCAATTGACTCTGGTTGACTCCAGTTGACTCCGGTTGACCCCAGTTGCCTCCAATTGACTCTAGTTGCTTCCAGTTGACTCCAGGTGACTTTTTCTGAACCCAGTTGACTCCAGTTGACTCCAGTTGACTCTTTCTGAACCCAGTTGACTCCAATTGCCTCTCGTTGACTCTTTCTGAACCCAGTTGCCTCCCATTGACTCTGGTTGACTCCAGTTGACTCTTTCTGACTCCAGTTGACTCCAGTTGACTCTGGTTGACCCCAGTTCCCTCCAGTTGCTTCCAGTTGCCTCCAGCTCGCTCCAGTCCCCCCCTCAGGGCCGCATCCCTCCTTAACCACCGTCTCTCCCCGCAGCCTCCACCACGTGGCACAGCAACGACGACGACGTTTACCGGGGGCCGCCCATCGACCGCACGCTGCTGCCGACGGCGCCGCGCGCCGCCCGCGAGCCCAACATCGACAGAAGCCGCCTCCCCAAATCCCCCCCGTACACGGCATTCCTGGGAAACCTGCCCTACGACGTCACCGAGGAGTCCATCAAGGATTTCTTCCGAGGCCTCAACGTGAGTCGCCTTCTGGAGGGTTGGGAATAATGAGGGAAAAGTGGGAGCGGCGTTCCCGGCGCTGGAGGTTGGGGGGTTTCAACGACTCCCGGATTGGGAATTCCCAGCCCTCCCATCCCGGGGAATCCCATCCTGGGGAATCCCATCCTAGGGAATCCCATCCTGGGGAATTCTATCCTGTCCCCAGGATCTCGTCCCATTGTGGGGAATCCCATCCCAGGGAATCCCATCCTGGGGAATCCTATCCTACCCCCAGGATCTCATCCCATCCTGGGGAATTCCATCCCAGGGAATCCCATCCCAGGGAATTCCATCTCATCCCATCCTGGGGAATCCCATCCTGGGGAATCCCATCCTATCCCTGAAATCTCATCCCATCGTGGGGAATCCCATCCCAGGGAATCCCATCCCATCCCATCCCGGGGAATCCCAATCCCAAGGAATCCCCCCGGAGCAGCGTTCCCAGAGTGGAGGGTGTTTCCGGTTCTGGTGTTGGAATTCCAAGCTCTGGGAGTGGCGTTGCTGCTTCCCAGACTGGAATTCCTGGCTCTGGAGCCAGCATTCCCAGCCGCCCCCAGGCAGAATTCCCGGCTCTGGGATCAGCATTCCCAGGCCCTGAAGTGGAATTCCCACCTCCCAGACTGATATTCCCAGCTCTGGGCTCAGCATTCCCAACCCCCTGCTCAGCATTCCCCTCTCCCAGGTTGGAATTCCCAGCTCCTGGAGCAGAATTCCCAGCTCTGGGCTCAGCATTCCCAGCCCCCCAAGCAGAATTCCCAGCTCTGGGATCAGCATTCCCAACCCCTGAAGTGGAATTCCCACCTCCCAGAGTGGCATTCCCAGCTCTGGCTCAGCATTCCCAGCTCTAGGAGACCCCGGAGCCTGAGGAACACGGGGCCACATTCCCAAGGAATCCCTGGATCTCCACGAGTGGCCCCATCCCGGATTCCCGGTTTCCCCCCCGGCATTCCCACGGGGAATCCGTGATCCCGAGGGGGATCCCAAGGGATGTTTTCCCTCCCCCTGATCCCGAGGGGGATCCCAAGGGTTGTTTTCCCATCCCCATTCCCAGATCAGCGCCGTGCGGCTCCCGCGGGAACCAACCAATCCCGAGCGCTTGAAAGGCTTCGGATACGCGGAATTCGAGGACATCGACTCCCTCTTCCAGGCCCTGAGCCTCAACGAGGAGGTGAGAACTGGGAATCTCATCCCTGGGAATCACAGCCCTGGGAATCACATCCCAAGGAATCCCATCCCATCCTGGGGAATCCCATCCTGTCCCTGGAATCTCATCCCATCCCTGGGAATCCCATCCCATCCTGGGGAATCCCATCCCAGGGAATCCCATCCCAGAGAATCCCGTCTCATCCCTGGAATCTCATCCCATCCCTGGGAATCCCATCCCATCCTGGGGAATCCTATCCCAGAGAATCCCATACTGTCCCTGGAATCTCGTCCCATCCCTGGGAACCTCGTCCCAAGGAATCCCACCCCAAGGAATCCCATCCCGGGGAATCCCATCCCAGGGAATCCTATCCCAAGGAATCCCATCCCCGGAATCCCATCCCATCCTGGAGAATCCTATCCCAAGGAATCCCATCCCAGGGAATCCTATCCCAAGGAATCCCATCCCCGGAATCCCATCTCATCCCAAGGAATCCCATCCCAGGGAATCCTATCCCAAGGAATCCCATCCCTGGAATCCCATCCCATCCCAGTGAATCCCATCCCAATGGAGCAGGGCCAGAACTGGGAAGAGCCCCCAACTTCCAGGAGCACATTCCAATCCCTCCGGAGGCTCCAGGGAGGGGGAATGGCTCCCACTGGGAGGAGGGGGAGGGTTTGCTGGGATGTCGGGAAGGAATTCCCAACATTCCCGTCCCGCTGCCGTTCCCAGTCTTTAGGGAACAGAAGGATACGAGTGGATGTGGCGGATCAAGCTCAGGATAAAGGTGAGGGTTGGGATTGGGATTGGGATTGGGATTGGGA